TTGTCAGGGAAGTGCCATGAGACTGCCTCCTCCCCTGTTGTTAGATTACAAGTGAGGAATGGAATTTGCAAAGTTCTCTTCAGTTGCCCTCTGTAGAACAAATAGGAGGTATTTCTTGGTGGAATCTGGTTGGGGTTGCAGGGAAGGGAGGATGGGAGACTTCTAATTCTGATAATGATTTTTCTCCCTTTTCTTTGGCATCAGTTATAGGTGGGAATTGCGTATTAGGATGCTGAAGCTGGCTTGGTGTCTTGAGGTGATGCTTTAGATAACCGTCTGGTTGCCATAGTGACTCAGGCCTGAATCACACAGGAAGCCAAAAGCCAGAAAAGGATGTGGAAGACCTTTTCTCCTGGGGCTCTATAAACTGTTCCAGTACTCACTAGGCTCATTTGTGGGACATTAGGAGTAATAAGAGATGGGAGTGCCATTGAGCATGTGCAAAGTGGGAGTGAAGGAAAGGCTTCCAGGTCATATAGTGAGACCAAGGGAGGTTTGATCCTTGGCACTCACTTGGGCATTAAGCACTCCTTTCATTAGCACATTGGTATTGGTTTTGTGTACCAGGGATCAGGGTGGAGGTTGGCGTTTAATTTCTAGAAAGCAGAGTTGCGGCTTTCATTTCTCAAAGTCCAATGGTTTGAATGTTATTGAAATGCCATATAATTTAAATAACATGCCTGTCTTTAAGGAAAGACACACGTTTTGATCTTCCCAGCTCTATCACTTTGTTTTGAATGCTATGTTTTATTTGAAGAAAGTTATGACCCTTGTGAATAATTCATAGGCAATCGCAGGCTGGAAGGCAGATGTCTTTAACTGCTGACTGAACTGAGGTTGCGGATTGACTGCCTTTTGTTGGTTTATTTTTATCTCTTCTGGGACTTTGACTGTGGTGTCTTTGCTGCCCCTGTCCGTCTTAATCAGTGTCTAGTGAAAATCTTGCCACAGGCCTAACAATAAGGGTCCACGTTAGCATTTTCCCTTTCTGGAACGTATAATTTGGCCACGACAATGGGCTTGTGCAAAATTACTGTTATTTCAGAGCTTATGTATGATACGCAGTGCCTCTCTTAAAAAAAAAAACAACAACAACAACCTTCCAAGCATGTGTTGTTCCTCAGAAACTGGGTCCTTGCCTTGCTGTCTATGGAAAAGTCATTGCCTGTATGGTAAAGAGATCTTGCTAGCTTCTGCTACTGCAATAGTCCTTGGTGGATTTCAGGAATTTGGGGGTGGGTGTTCTCTGTTTGGAATTGGAGCGCTGCAAAGCCAATGTGGAAAAAAGAATTGAGGCTGAGGTGAAGCCTAGGGCTGGTGCCAGAAATCAGCACTGTGGGGTAGCTGTTGAAGGCCCACTGCTGTTGTGGACTGTGAGGTTGTGCTATGAGACAGTATCTTACCACATCCATGCAAGAGAGTCCATAAAGGTCAGTGTTGAGGCTGAGGCTGAGCTGCATTTTCAACAAACAAACAAACAACACAAAAAATATCCCTCATATAAAACATCCATATCACCTGCTACATAAATGTTTTAACTTGCAATGCCTGAAATCAGGTGGCATTCTGTATGCAAAGAAATTGTTCTGCCACTAAGAGTTACGGCTTTGCTCAGGTGCAGTGCCTGCCCCCTGCCCGTTCCTGCCTGCCTCCCCACCTGCCTGTCCTCCTCTCTCCCGGTAAGTGAATAGCAACCATTTTGTACATGAAAAGAGAAAATAGATCAGTGTGCCTTATGGACACCTCCACCTGGGGTGGAGGCTAGCCTTGCTCTTTGTCCCTGGTGACCCCACTTCTTGAAAATCAACCCCGTTCCTTTTTGTAGAGCCCCATACAGAATTCTGTTCTTTGGGGATGCCAGGTTAGGAATACCGTTGATCAAACTTTTTTTAAAAAATAGAGATAGTAGCAGTTCTACCAATGAAATTCAGCCTCATGTTTTGAGAGAATGCTCAAATTTAGTTCCAAATTTTGCAGAAGCAGTGTGTGCTCTCTGATAGTTCAGCAGTTCTACATGATCCTTGGCTTGAAGTTTGTGTCATCAGGATACAATCCTTTCAGACACTGACTAAAATAAACAGAGACGACCTCACACAGTGATCAGGATACTTCTGCTTCCTAAGTTGTATAATGTAAGCAGTGGCTATGAATAGCTCTTTCCACTTTTGTGCTTGGAAGTCCTTAATACAGAAACTTACCATGTCTCTTGAAATGGCTTTTTGGTGCAGTATTTTTGGGTGCAGTGAAAAGGGCAACAGCTGTGATAGCTTTTTGTAAGTCTCTCTAGCATTGTTGTGTCAGAAAAAGTGTGCACGGAATGGTTTTATTTTGTCCTCATGAGTGTGGCACCCATGACATCTTTGTTTAGTATGTTACTGCAGCCCACAATCTACCGCCTTCCACAGCCTACTTTGTATCCTGGGGCAAATTATAACCAAAAGATGCTTTCAAGTGTCATGGGATATGTTGATGCATGTTACAAGAGTTGATGAAGATGTTACTGCAGCTGCCTAACTCTTACCCACAAATTGTTCCTCTGTGAAAAAAAGATTTGCATATTTATCAGGTGGCACCAAACATTGGCTCTGGACATGCTCGGTGTGGTCAGGTATGCTTCCAGGTACCTGTGTACCTTCCTTGGCAAACTTCCCTTGTATTCACTGAGTTACCAGATAACTAATGGCTGCTTCTCAGAAGGATGAACTTGAAAGAGTTTGCCTCTGCCCTTTCATGAACAGAAAAATTGCATGCTGCATTTTGCAATGGGAAAAGAGCATCCCTCACTTTGATGTTACATTGCTCAGGCAAGTACGCCTCCTGACTAAAGGCTCAGGAGTAGTGAATTGTAATGATACTTTATATGTGTTTGCTTTTCATAAATAGCTTTCTCTATAGAGTGGCATCAGTGCCTAGTACTTTGCAAAAATCAGAGGACAGGTCTCTGCCCTGAGCAACTGGCCATCTCTAAATGGGCATAGGGAAACAAAACAGGGGTATGGGAGGAAGATGACGGCAGAGATAAATGGGGGAAGAGTATGTGTTTATTTTAGTGACTCATGTCTACTTATAGTAAGAAATGTTCTAATGCTTGAGGATTTTTAATTTAGTAGAAAAGCACATAGGGAGGTATGGCAGAGATGCATACAATTATGCATGGTGTAAAGTGGCTAGGGAAATGGTTTCCTTCCTCTGTCATATTACTAGGCATTAAGGTCATCCAATGAAACCAAATGGAGATTCAAGATGGACAAAGGGAAACATTTCTTTGCACGGTGCATAATTAAACTATGGAGTTCACTGCTATAAGGTGTGGTGATAGCCGCCATCTTGAGAGGATGGTGTACAAAGAAGGATAAAAGTATCAAAGAGTACTGCACATGGTGGCTATGTGCTTCCTCTAGTAGCAGAGGTACCAGTTGCTTGCTGTGAACGGTGAGCAAGGATTACGGACCCCTTGTCCTGCCTGTGGGCTTCTCAAGAATGGTTGTTCACTATGGGACAGGATGCCAGATCGGACAGGTTTTAGTCAAATCCTATATTGTTTATTGCTCAAGCAGGTGCTAGAGCATATTAAACCAGATGTGTCCCTGGCTGGCAAGGTAACAAAGTTGACTCACTTATTTTGGTCATGTCATGTGATCAAGCTCATTAGAAAAAGATATAATGCTTGGAATGCTCTGCAGTAAAAGAAAGCCAGCTCCCCAAAGAGCAAGGTGGTTAGACTCCATCAAAGAGGATGTGGGCCAGTACGTGAAAGAGGTGGCACTGGATTGAAAATTGTGGTGAGTTTTGGCCCATAGGATCACTTATATTTGGACACGACTCAACAGCCGAACATCATTGCTTATTTGAAGAATGTTTACCAGCTCTTTTGCTCAAGAGGCACCCAGAATGTCTTACATATGATCAGAAAAGCAAGAATGTCAGTGCCCATGAACATCTAATGTAAAAGACAAAGCAGAAAAGGAAAAAGTGATGAGGCATTAAAATGGAAAAAGCAAAACCAGGCACCAATGAAATGGCAATAACATCCAGCTGGAAACAGTTCAGAGGCAAAGGAGAAACCCAATGGAGCTGGTATTTCTTCATGGCTGATGCGATGTGGGATATGTGGTCCCTTCTGATTAAGAGATTGTTTCACTGGAGCTCAATATTAAGAAAAGAGCCATGCAGCTGGTAGAAGGCACTTGTTGAAACAGGCAGTCTTTCAAGTATCTTCTACATACTGCAATTAATTCAGCAGTATCACATCTGAGGTTTGTTGTTGTTGTTGTTTAAGATCTCTGCCAACTACTGTAGATCTGGAAACTGGGTGCTTTTTGCGTTTGCCAGTTCATTCCAAAGCTTGACACTTCTGATTGTCTAGGTAGTGGTAACTCTCCAACAACTTTTGCAGTAGATACTAATATAATCACTCCTGCCACTACTGTTTCTCTGCAATTTTCCAGTATTACTTCACAAACGTTTAAAGAATACCTCTCTGCATCAAAAAAGGCCATTGTTTCTCTGGTTTGTGCCCTGCTTAGGATTTATTTAAATCTGTATCTGTTTTTCTGTCTTCAGCAGTCTAGTCTTTGCTTACCTTATCATAGGTTAGCATTTTGGTTTGTCAGAATGTGTTTGCTCATTTCAGGGTAGGCATTTATTTTGTTCAGGAAATTTTAGCCTTCTTGAAGCAGTCATTCTACCATATTGGCATTGTCTTGGGTCTGCTTATGTGTTTTTTAAGTGGCAATAGAAATTTTCTTTGACCCTTTTCATATTTAGAGCCTTGAAGATGTTTGAATTTTTCCTTTAAAAATCAAGTTTTCATGTATGGAACATCCAGCTTTATTTTAAAGGTGACTTAATTTTAGTAATTAGAAGATCTGTACTAATATTTTAGCGCTTCTCTTTTCAATTTTTCTAAAACTTCTTGCATTGAGCCTATATTCTGGTGTATAAATCTCAAAGGATACGATTTGACTAAGATTTTCGTATCAATGTCTTTATTTTGGCAGGTGATTTTTGTGCAAGTCAATCCAGGTGAAACTTTTACAATAAGGGGTGAAGATGGAACTCTTCAGTGCATTCAAGGTAAGGAAAATGTTACAAGAATGCATTCCTGTTTAATGTGAAGAGTGCAATTCCCCATGTGAAGTCCTTGGCAGATCTTCGGTAGATTTGTTGTTATTGCTTTCATTTTTCTGTTTATGAAACAATAATTGTAAAGGTATAGCATGCAAACTGTCTGCCTTAAATATTTTCTCTCTAAAACTTAGCAGGGGTGAGGATCACTTGCAGCTCGGCTCTGCAGCCATTACTATATTTAGAGAGGGAGCATTTTTTAAGGACTCCTAATGTGGGTTCAGGAACACTGAGAAGCATCTTGTACTTTCAGTCTGATAGTGCATGGCTTTGGTTCAAGTTACATGGACTGGGACACCCTCGGCTGTCTTGGGTTTCTCCCTAAGAGGGATGTGGAGGACCAGAAAATAAAAGTCAAGTTGGGTTTTCCTTACCTGGGCCACATGAAAAGTGTCTGATCAATATATAATTCTTGCTTAAAGTTGACGAAAAGCACAATGGAGAAATTCTTCAAGCAACGCTCACACCTGTGGGAGGGGGAATGCTCCCTGTAACACTGCCAAATTCTTGGAGAGGTGGTGCTAGCAATTATGCATACTGTGTGTGAGTCATTCATGGTAAATAAAACTACCCAGGGGCTATGGGCTTTTTGTATTTTTTTTCCTGCTTGAAGGCAGTTATCATGAAAGCGAAAAAAAGTAATCACTGGAACTCAATATTAAGAAAAGAGCATTTCAGCCGTGACCTACAACAGAATAATCTCATCAAACGATTCCCATTTGTATGTTTGGTTTTTCTTTTCTCATTTAAAGCAGAAATGAAAAGGCAACTAATGAAGCTGAATTTTGCTCGTTATTAACATATTGATATCTGACTTGTTCATAAGTTACAGTCTTAGGATTCAGTTATAGCTAAGTGCATTAGCATTTGGTTTCAATAGTAACGCACTCATACATGGCTTCACAAAGCTATTGACATGCACTGGATAAATTCTGACCTACATCTAAATGTATGTACCTTCCACAAGATTTGTGTTTAAAATCGTATCATCATCGTTGGATAAGACCCCGAGGTTACCCACGCCAACCTCTTGCCAATGCAAGAAATCTGCATCTACAGTGTCCATGACATATGATCATTCAGCGGTCTGTCCTACTGTTGAACAGCTCACACCATCAGGGAGTTCTTCTTAAGGCTTAGACGAGACCCTCTTTTTTGTAATTTGAGCCTATTAGAATTGGTCCTACCCTCTGGAGCAACATTTCAATGTCGCTAGATTGTTCCATGTGAAAGGCTGTTGTCCTGTGTTCAGGTCCTGGATCTAGTTTCCAAGACTATGTTTATGCCAGTTGCCCTGTTTATACTGGTGCAGTGGCTATTTTTGAATATTGCTTAATGATCGAACAGTGGGGTGGATTGCCTAGGCATGGGGCCGTGCACACAATCGGGGAGAAAGTGCAGTTCTCGCACAAACCTCTGGCTGCCCACTCCATACCCTGCCTCTGGTGTATAGCACTAAATAAAAATATTGATGTTTAAACACATAATCTTAAACACATATGGTTAAGATTATAACATTTCTGTAAAGAGTGCTTTTATTGAGTCTTTCTTTCTACTCCTTTTTAGTTCCCGTTCTTGGAAGCTGGTGACATTCTCTGATCCGTCAAATCCTTGTCTCAGTTGGTAGCTTGGCTTTTGTGTTGATTGAGTTTTAATGAAAAACATTTGTGTTAATGTTCTGAATTTCTATATTGTGTTTCAATGCTCATCTCTTTATGAAGAAAGGAGAGCATGTGTTGAAATATGGACTCAGTGAGTTGCCTTTTGATTAGTGACACATTGGCCTGACTGGATTACATCAGCCATGTGAGTGGTTCTCCTGCCAGGTTCAAGGCATTATTCCCTTTAAACTTGGCATGAGAACCAGTCACATGACTCGTGCAGGTAGGAGCAAATTGAAATATTCTACCCATCTCTCACCAGAGTCGAGGTGGTATATATCAGACTTCCACTCACTCTACCTAGAAATCTCAAAATAAATTAAATACAGCAAAATGGAGATACACTTTCTAGCAGGGTGCCTCTCAGTTTCTGTTTCCAGGCTTGGGTCAGATGGAATGCCCAAAAGCAGAAAGCATGGAGATAGACAAAAAGGATGTTTTGTTCAACAAAAGTAAAAGGTTCCAATGTATTGTGGACCACATGCATGTCCTCCTGCTCTGTGTTCAGCAGGTTTGGCACATTGGTGATACAACTGTTCATCGCAATGTTAAAAACCTCAAAATCTAAAGGAAGAGAATCTAAGAGTATCCAACTTATGAACAAGCATTTCAGTCCCTTAGCAATTAACTGACTTGCTTAGTATGATGCAGCAGGTGCTGTTTGCTCTCCAGATTCCACTCTCCTTTCAATGGCAGAACTGGGAGAACAAACTATGCATTTAAGTACACAAAGCCTGATTAGAAACAGCTGTATTTCAAAGGAGTGTTGCAAGGTCAAGAATTTTATTAAGGCCAAAAGGAGTCATTGTATTCAACGTTAAGACCCACCTGGCTTCCTTTTCCTAAAGAATTCTGTCTTTACAAATCATCTTTATTGCCCAGAATGCAAGGTCTCTTTCTCTATAGGATTCATCATTTCAGTTTTGCTCTAATGGTGTTACCACAATTCCATGTTTGATATTACTGTTATGTTCTTCTATTCTAATTTTAAGATTTGGACTTAGGCTTGAAAGGTCTTCTGTATTGTTCACCAGGAACAAACTGTACAGTTAGTACAAAAAGCAAGTGCTTCAGCCTCTTAGGAATGTTGATGAAGTCTGTTTCTGCATGTCCTCTGATCTCATGTGGCGATGCTGTCTACCTGGCTTGCTGTCTGTGCATCTAGATGGATTCCATTTTCTTTAAATCCTAGGTCAAGATTGCCAAGTAAGTGTCCACAGGTTCATTTTATTTATTTATTTATTTAAAACTTTTATATGCCATCACCACATGCCTCGGCATCTCAGGACGGCTTACAACATAGAATTAAAACAATAAAACAGTAACAAGTACAGTAAAATTATATAAAAACAAAGACAAAAACAAAAAACAAAAAAGGACTGTTAACGATAAAATTAATTTTTAAAATAGCCATTAAATAAAAAGGTTTTAACCAGGCTCTGAAAAGAATATAGACTTGGCACCAGGTGCAGCTCTCCAAAAAGCGCATTCCATAATCTGGGCGCCACCACAGAGAAGGCCCTGCTCCGGGTTGTTGTTCTTTTTATCTCCTTTAAAGAGGGCTCCCGGAGCAAAGCCTCTCCCACAGATCTTCATGGGCGTGAGGGCATGTAAGGGAAGTGGGGCTCCTTCAGGTATCCTGGTCCCAAGCCATTCAGGGCTTTATAGGTTAAAACCAGCACCTTGAATTGGGCCTGGACTTCAACTGGGAGCCAGTGAACCAATAGAGGTTGGCACTTAAAGAAACCTAAGTTTGCCAGCTGCCATTAGTCTGTTTTTGGTAGCGTTTTTATTTCATTTCGTCCAGCTTTTGGGCAATTTAAAATGTAAATAAATTCACATATATAAAAATATTGGCCATATTCCATGCTAGAGAGATGAGAACCAAGGAGACTTGACAAGATGATAATCGTGAACCCCTTGAACAGAATTAAAAAGGTTTCTATAACTAGCTTCTATATGTGAGTCAATTGTCTTGAAAACTATTCATGCAGGATATTGCACCTTTAACCCACCTCCCCTTTCAAGGAATCCAGGGTGTGTATATAAGGAGTCATTCCCTCCACACTGGATGCACTTTATCCTCACAACAGTGTTGTGATGGGAGTTAGGCTGCCTTAAAGCCACCCAGAGAGCATCATGACTCAGTCCATGCCTTGCCAGAACCAGATGGGTTGGCTGACAGCTTCCATCAGATCTACCAGTATGATTGCAAGAGTTGTAGTCTAAAACATCTGGAGAACCACAAAGAGCCTGGCCTGCTTTAGCCCAACCCCAACAGGTAGTTTCTACCTAGTCTTTACCTAAGAGATAGGTAGTCTTACTGACTTGATAGATATTTCAATATATTGCATAGTCCATATATAATCATGTAATATTAATGTAACATTTCTCCTTTTGTTTTACCTCAGTAGAAGTAAAGCTTTTATTTACTTTTCTAGTGTGTCCTTTCTTGCATTCTCAGCATTCAAAGCGACAATTTTGAATTCAGCTGAACTTAAGATTAGCACTCACAGTTGTTAGAAAGGTCGTGCCATTGCTGTGATTAGAGGTTTCACTATTACTAAAACCATTGTTCTGAAGCTGTCCAGTATGTTCTTTTGATCCTGTAGCAATGCATTCCTTGTGACTTAAGCAGCTGACTTGGGGTATCATGAAGGTATGACTATATAAACTTTGCTAAATTCGTCCAGCCCTCTTTCATGGATGATCCAGTGCCTTTTGTTCCATCTTCTACTCGATGAGGCAATGGGATTTTGTACAAATGTGTTGGTACTTCCAAAAAAGCACAGTCTCCCCAGTTGTGGATTTCCTCACTTTAGCCATTTTAAGTTTGTTTTTTTTTCATATTTTTTCATGAGTAAATTTGTGTTCAGCTATGGAAAGCTAAAAATCAGTGCTGTGCATTCTCTGAATCCATGTGACTTGGAAGGTCAGCCCGCTGCAGAAATGCAGGTCAGATTCACAGAAACCCAAACTCATCTGAACTGTTGCAGATTTCTCCAACAACCCTACAAGAAAGAGCAGGCTCTTATTTCATTTACTGTGATTGTAGGTTACTTCCAAAAGGAGGTGATTCTGGGATTTTCCGCCTCAGGTGCCAAAATAATGGCCAGTTATCTTGACTAGCTGGGCAGGGGAGGGGGCACCGTTGCTTTTTTTATGTCTTGGGCCAGCCACAATAATTTTCTTTGGGACTCTCAGTTCAAAAGGTATGAGCCAATTCATGCAGGAAAACTTGAAGTTGGTTATATTTCTCAATAAATGGGAGCAGGAAGAGGAGGGTTT